CCAGGCACTTCCACCACTTGACGTTAATCACATGCCTGCGCTTTTACGTGAGCGTTATTTACAAAACTCCGAGCACTTTTCTGGCGCGCGTTCCGCGCCGTTAGTTTTCACCACGGCGCTCCACGTGCGACAGTCGGCAGCAATTTTCCGCACGGTACAAACCGCCGGACGAGGCCTTTCATGCACGCTTATGAGCGGAACGAGAAAGTCACGGCGGAGAAGCGCCGACGAAGCACGGCCAAAACCCGGCACACAGCTCAGCCATTCTCCCGTCGGGCGCGCGCTGCACGTGCAAACCCAGCCATCCACGCTTTCACCGTCTGGCGCGCGGGCGCGCGGGCGGCGAAACCGCTCAGAGCCGGTCACGCCGACCCCCGCGCCGGGCCCCTGCGGGTCCCGGGACGGGTACCCGTCGGGCACCCGTCGGGCACCCGTCGCCGCGCCGGTCCGCCCGCCGGCGCCTTTTTGCGGCGCGGCCGTAGCGACGGCGGCCGCCGGCGCCCAGGGCCGCTTTTTCCCAGCGCGCCGCCGCCCGGCCATGTGGGTGACGCCGGGCTTCAGGCGGCCGGCGGCCCGCCGCCTGGGAACGGGGCCGGAGCTGCCACACCTGGCACAAAAGGCGCGAACATTGCGCTCGAGATTGGCGCACCGGCGCCATTAGCCAGGGGACAATCGCGGCGCGGCGGCCAGCCCATTTCGTCGCAGCTGGCGCGGCGCTGGCTCGCCATTTCGTGACAATACGGGGCGACCACACCCCGCCGAGCCGAGGCCAAACACGGCGCGGCCGAAACGGCACGCAACACTCCGCCCGTGAATGGACTCGGCTCGATTCTCAAAACAGCGCCGCGCTCAGAGCTCGCGGTGCAAATAGAGCCGCCTCGCTGCAGCGAGAACGCCTGATGAGCCCAACACAGGGGAGTCACGCGCCCCCAATCAGTTCAGCGGTCGAAGGCTGAGCCCTCGATGGCGTTTAAGCGCCGACACCAATCGTTTAAGCGCCGACACCAATCGAGGCGAAAACAGAGTATGCGCAGCAGCCGCCCAGCGCCGTCCCAGCGCTCGGCTACTACCACAACATGGCGCACGGCGGCACTTTCGGGCCGGTAAACGCCTCAGCTCCTACTAAAACTTTCACTGAGGTCGCCACGCGAGGCACCGCCGCCCGGGGGTCAACACCCCACGACCCGGCGTGACCCGCTGACCCCGACTGCACGCGCGACACATCCCGGCAAAGCACCTCCACTGCTGGAGAAATCGGCGGGCGGTCGGGCCGGCGCGCGTGGCAAGGGTGGCTGCTAGCGGCTCTCAGCAGCGTCGGCGGCACGGGCGGGGGAGGGAGGCGAACGCATCCACTATTGTTTTGAATTTAACGTCCTACTCATTCATAGTATGGAAAGAGTTGAGCTAAAACAGCCTCCAGCCGCGCCGCGCCGCCCGCCTCTCGGCGGCACGGGCTTCAACTCCTGGAGCCCGGGCCAGGCCTGCACAGACACAGGCGCAGACACAGGTACAGAGAACCACACGGACACGGAACCAGACGCAGACACAGACACGGAGGGCCACATTGACACGAACACAGACACAGACACAGATACACGCCACAGGCACACCTCAGACCTCCACACACACAGACACACACTCCACGCCGCAAGTCGGGCGGCCGCTCGCATCAACCAATTGACTGAACCAATGAATGAACACATCTCCGAAATGTGGGACCTCTCCCGCCGCCGGTTCCCACGCCGCCGCTCCATTCATATGCTAAAACCTCTCCGACCCCATCGCGCCGCCTCCGAGACGGGCGACCGGCACGCGCATCGTTTAGCCACGATGCGGTTACGCTGGATCTAATCAGCATGACCTCCTTCAGGTCAGCTAACGGTGTCGAGAGATTTGATCTGGGCGCCCCGCCGTCGGGCGCCACCACCGCGTCGTTCTGACGTCATAAGACATCATCAGGGCGGGCGGCGGGCGCCGTGAATACGGCAGCCAACACGCGGCGGCGTCCCCGGCGCCCGACACCGGGTCAGACACGGGCGCCCGGTCCGCGGGGGCGCGGGCGCGGCCCGTCACCGCGCGCTGCCACGCCAATTGGGACGTGTTGGCCGAAACACTTGGTGCCGGTGCTGCTACAAACGGACGCCGGCCAGGACATGAAATGTCTGGCTGGTGCCGACACAGATACCAGCTGCAGTTGCTGCAGCGCACGCAAACCAGCCCTGGGATCGACACCGTCGAGGCATTGCCAGCCCAAGCACGGCCCAAGTACCACCTGCCTGCGGTGTAGTGCCGATCTTGCATTTCCAGGTCACAGTCATACCCAGCCGCCCTCCCCCTAGCCCCCCTAGCCAGGTAAGATCGGCTAGGGGGGCCCGCATTCCCACGGCCTCATGACAACCGCGAGAGGGATGGCCTCTAGTGCAACCGGCACGAGCCATTGGCGGTAACCAGGATGGCTCCGTTACATCTTCATGAATCTAACTAGTCAGTGACTCTTAACCGTCAGCATCTGATGAGGTGCGCTTGCAACGCTATCACAAACACTCGTTCCGTAGCCTGCACGGAGCACGCCCCGGCCGCGCTCAGAGCGCGCTTTTGACCGGGCCGGGATGACCTGCATTCCCGCGGCGCGGGCCGCCAAGTTCGATCTGCGGGCGCGCCGGTGGCGCCGCGCGGCCCACAGCCGGCTGCTCAGCATGCATGGGCCGTGCACATTCCGGCCGAGAAAAACCGGCCCATGCGAGCGACCGCCGCCGCCGCCGGGTGGGCGGCCTCTCCGCCACTGCGCACAAGAGCCGCCGCCGGTCAGCAGGCCGGCATCGGCGGCGGCGTGACTCACCGGACGGGGGCCTGCTGCCGCCGCTGCAGCCTGCGCATGCTGCAGCGCTTCAAACAGCCGCCGGCGCCGCTGACGGCGCGGGGGCGGCACCAGGCGCCGCCGGCGGGCCGGTGTAAACAGACGGCCCGGTGTCCGGTGGCGGCGAGGGGCGGCGGCGGCGGTACACGACACTGCCGGGGCAGCTCAGCCGCCCGACAGGCCGGAGAGCAGGCCCATCAGTGCACACGGCGCTGGCAGGCGCCGGCGGCACTGTTCGCGTCGGCAGCGCGGTCCGGACCGCGTGCGCACATCGTGTCACACACCGCCGACGAGCTGGCAGGCCTTACTAGCAGCAGGGACTTTCTGCCGCCCCTACAAGGGGCGTTGCATAGCGACGCGATGAAACAGATACGAGTAAAGCGAACATTAAGCATGTAGTTAAACCGGCTATGCGCGTGGGAAGTTGATCCCAGTAGGGGCGGGCAGCGCCGCTATCCATTTTAGTTCTTCCTTTCCAATCGATGCCCAGAGGGCCAGGGCTAACTTTCCAGAAAGTTGGATGGCGGGGAGGGGCCGCCACCGGACCATCCGGATTCCAACACCCCGCCTGCAGCTGCAGCAGAGGGCCCTCAATGGGAAGTTGATTAAACCCTTGCGCTAACAGTTCGTGACTTTTCGTAGTTAGTTTCGTTCGTAGTTTCATTAGACGTGAGCAGAGATGATAGGAGGAAGGCAGAGCCATGTAACCAGGGAAATAAAACAAATGTTGTCGATAAAGTTACTCAGCACGCACCGCAGTCTGCATGCGATGGAGAGCATTTTTAGAATGGAAGGAACAAGTGCCCGTATAGATATTGTTGTTTTCCGCCGTTCGAAAGCATGCCACGCATCGACACCTCTGCGCAGGAGCCAGCTATCACACGCATTACAGAAAACCTGGGACTATGTGCAGCCTAAACAGAGTTTAAACCTTCCTCCGAATCTGAGTCAACGAAAATACAATAAATCGTTGCATGGAGCCTGGGGGCGACGAAGGACGTCTCAAGTTGGGGGGGGGGGCCATATCTATTCTAGGTTATATTTTTCCAGTCATCGCCCATAGCGCCAATGCTAAGTTTTCAGAACGTCGCGGGCTCAACCACCCTGCACCGCCCTCTCGGGTTTCCGAGCCCCTGATTCATTCATCCATTCCTGATTCACGTGCGCCGCTGATAAACAATTCACAACAAGTGCACGATGATACACATAAATACATGAAACAAATACATGATGAAGACAACAGACCCCGGTAGGCCGCGCGGCCTGCTCAGGACAGGGAGGCCGCCGACGTCCTGCCGAGATAGCGGGGAACACGAGACCTGCGGGGATTCAGGACGTTGCGAACCTGTCCCAACGCCGTGTGCCCTTGAGGCCCCGGCGCGGCCGGCTTACCTGGCTTAAGCCCGCCTGTGCCGGTGGCCGCTGTCACGCGCCCTTCACTAGCGGTGCGCACCTCCACAGAACAGCGCAACACACAACGGGAGCATCACAGGTCGCGCGGCCGCCAACACCACAGCTCTGCTCGGTTGCCGCTGGCGGCTCCGCACCGCAGCGCACCGACGCACGCAGGTCGCCGCCCACAACCACCACCAAACACCGCGGCACCGGCCGCCCAACTGGCCAGACCGCCGCGCGGAATAACTGGCGCCCGCGCAGTCACGTGACTAACAAGGAGTGGACGGGCAGCCGCCGACAGCGCCGCCTATAGACGGGCGGCCATGACGGCAGTGACATCTGACGGCGGTAGGGGAAACGGCCGTGGACTATGCTCTTATGCGGGTAGCAGGGAAACGGGGAATCGACCCGAACCAGGCAGAAACGTCGGTACCACGACGCTCGCCGTCAGTCAGTCAGGTAAGAAATGGTATTGGACAGCACGCTTTAAATCAAACGGCATCCACATTTTACGGAGCCGACATGAAAAACCATGTGCCACCATGGGATGCCATGGGATGTGCCAGCCCTCGTTCATAATACACCCAAGGCATTCTGATTACTTGAGCACACGGTAAAGCAAAAGCATATCAATACTGAACACCGAATTCGAGATTAACTCTTCCGCACTCCAGACGAAAATTAGAACCAGCCAGCGCCACACACAAAAGGCGTGTTCTAGTCATTATATCACCGACAGAGAGCTTACCTCCGCCATGTTGAAACTCATAACTGCCTTCCAAGACAAACCGACTTGATCACTTGGTTTTCCCTGGCACACCTGGGAACAAGGCATCAGAATCACATCCAGTGAAGATAAATATGAATTAAGGTATGAAATACCTCGCGATAAGTGTCGTCGTTTGCTTTCAAAGATCTCAAGCTTGATGAAAGCAATGATTTACCGTGCGCATGATACACTGTACTTACACACAATTGGGGAATTCAGCTTGCTACACTGCATTCTGGTTTGTGAAATTACCTTAACTACTAATTGATCTATTAAATATTGATAACATATCAGTTGAGCTCCTGCATTCCACTACAGTTCACACCATGCTAACACCATCCCATATGCATCAATTATTTACAGACATTTGCAACTAGACAAAGTGCAAAAGAATTATAAGGAATTTTGTATGGCATAAAAAGGTTATAAAAGCTAGCATAAACTGTGCTTAACCTTGATTGTCCTCATAACAAGAAGAGCAATATGTTTCCAGGGAGTTGGAAATGTGAGATGATGATAGACTGACATGTAGCATGTAAATGACACCAGGAAGTGAAAAATGGGGTCTTCATCCATGGACTGCCAAAACCACATATCATGGGATACCATACCATCACTTAAAACCCATACCACATGTCATGGTATACCATACCATCCCTTGAAACTGATACCATGCAGTGGAATATCCCTCTTCAATGTATCTAACATGCAGCAAAGTATTGCTTTTTGAAAATTATTGGCATGTTAACAACACATATTGTGTATAAATTGGCTTACTTTGAACCATGGCTATAAATGACTATAAATAACCTTGAACTATGGCTGTAAACAACTACAGGAGTACTGTCTGATCATTTCATTTTTCTAATCATGCAAATTTAGAAAGGCTCCATTTCACTGACTGTGACTATAGTTCACAAATATAACAAATATTTTGGTACACAATAACTCACAATAAAGATGCTATGAATGCCAGCACAGTCTTCAATGCCCACATATCTCCAGATCTAAGCCAGCATGCTAAACTCTAGGCCAAATCCAGGGAGTATGACATTGGTAACTTCCCAGTTGATTATCTAGTTGCTAACTGGGTGGCCATATGGCATTTTATCCCTAAGCAGGAGGGTAGAATATTTTCTCGACCCTGAGCTCAATGAGAATGGGGACCTACATGACAAACTGTCTTTAAAATCCCGAAACACATATGGCATGATAGAGTATTGTTGGCTTGGACAGTGTTGAGAATGATTGGTGATTCGAAGACAGGGTGTTTTTCCTGCACTATGCATTCAGTGTCATTCCTTTGTCTGCTTTGGTTGCCAAAACAGGGTATTAATCTGGAAAAACAACCCTAAATAGATAGATGCAGGACTCATGACTGAAAGCATATGTGGCTTGCTGAACATGCTAACTCACAATTTTATCATTTTCATGTGTAAGTCTTCAGTGGTAGCACAAGCCACTTAAATTTACACTTCACTTTGAACAATGTTGTAAGCTTATTTACTGATTTGGGAGCCAGAGAGCTCCAATCATGATGTCACTCCAATGATGCAGAAAAAGAACACCTTGCTTCATCAGGCATCTTAGACATAAGTCCCTTGAATGCATTACACTACAATTACAATAAAATGTGGCACATAGTTATGCCCAAAACTTGCATCTAGGGACAATCAGCATTTGCAAGAACATAAGCCTGTCCAAACATAGGACCCCTTGGCTACTGCCAGGCCAACTTGGGTTGGGACACTAAGGTTAACAAATTTCTGAGTAAGTCATGTAAGTTACCCCATGGCCTATTCGCTCACTCACAATAAGCTCAGATCATATCTCTCTAGAATGCTGCTGACTGGAGAATGGTTACAATGGAGGTTGGCTTGCAGAATGTAATCCCCTTTGCAATGTTGAATATGTCATGGCATATTGCTACAAGTTACAATACCTCAAGTGGTACCAGAATGACTAACAAGCAGCATAGTTGTTATTGGTTTATATAACTCATAGTGTGTAAGTACTCAAATAGAGCACAGTGTACAGCCTGAGTTTAAAAAATCCCTTGTATGAATATAATGCTATAACTTTTCATTGTTTCAAATTGTCACTACTCGGTGTGGTAGTATAATACAATGATGCACAATGATGAAAATTCAATTTACCTTTCCACATCTGATGTGCAAAGGAATAATGAGAAAATACACCTAACTCATTGGCCATCTTAACTCATTACCCAGTCTGCAAAAAATTTACAGAATTGTAGATGGATTTATTTCAGTGCATGCAGGTTCTGGTTGAGCACACCAGCACCCTGTAATCTGTAGCACAGCAAGTGGATTCTTGCAGACTAGCTAGACACTAGTGAAATTGGTGCAATGAGCTTCTTTCGCATCTTCTTCCATCCAGCTCAGGCCAGATCAAATCCTGCTGAATATTCACAGCAATTTTGCATGAAAGTGTTCGAAGGAGCATGTTTGGTCAGGGTATACATTGCTACCTCATGTTAAGAAAGAGCATTGTACATCAATTGTCATTTTTAAGGCAGAACATATCGTAATTAATCTAAAGCAGGTCATCTAAGCTCTTACCTTGGAACTTAAATAACTACGATAGCAAACATCCGAGCGCAACAGACAGCAACCACGACCACAGCACCATTTCTACGGGTGATCACAACATTACTGCTCACCAAGAACTATAAAATGTATGAGGCCAAGGTAACAAAATTCAATAAAATGTGTTTCTTGCATATCCAAGCAGTCTTCCATATTGCTTGTAGATTGGTCAACATGGTGGGGAAACATGAGATTTTTGTGTGGGAATGAAAAGCAAAATGAGAATATGGTGGCTAAACAAAACTTCTTAATATGGTACATATATATATATATATATACATATATATATATATATATATATATATATATATATATATATATACATATATATATATATATATATATATATATATATATATATGGCATGGAACATGGATGCCAAAGGGACACTGGGTTGAAGGGGATAGGGTGGGGGTTAGGTTAGGCTAGGCTAGGTTAGGTTAGGTTAGGTTAGGTTAGGTTAGGTTAAGCTAGTTTAGGTCAGGTTAGGTTGTTAGGCTAGGCTAGGTTAGGTTAGGTTAGGTTAGGTTAGGTTAGGTTAGGTTAGGTTAGGTTAGGTTAGGTTAGGTTAGGTTAGGTTAGGTTAGATTAGATTAGATTAGATTAGATTAGGTTAGGTTAGGTTAGGTTAGGTTAGGTTAGGTTAGGTTAGGTTAGGTTAGTTAGGTTAGGTTAGGTTAGGTTAGGTTAGGTTAGATTAGGTTAGGTTAGGTTAGGTTAGGTTAGGTAAGGTTAGGTTAGGTTAGGTTAGGTTAGGTTAGGTTAGGTTAGGCCAGTTTAGGCTATGTTCTGGACTATTCTGGCCTGTCCATTTCATAAACGTATCTAAACGTGATAAGAAACGTTTTTATTGTATTATTAGTTACCTTAGTCCCATACATTTTTTAAGGTTCCTGATAAGCAGAAATATTGTAATTATGCAATGGCAATGCAGAAACAGAGCTGGGCATAAGCAGTAACAAAGCATAAATATTTAAAGTTGAAGGTAGGAGCATGAATCTACCTGTTTTAAGATTATGCATTATATGTTCTGCCTTCAAACACGACAAATGATGTACAATGATTTTTTAACATTAGGTAGGAATGTATACCTGCACTGCATGTTAACCTAAAATTAACATGAAAAACAATAATACCTTGTAACATTGGTCCATACACTGTAATTGGTGGAAACCATGCACCAAAATCTGAGCATTTTGATTTACAGCACACATACACTAGACTTTTTGCTGCAATAACGCCGCAACGCCGGACATGCTTGGCATAACATGATTCCTTTCCAATCTGGCTCCGCGATACCCGCCGCCCACCAGACCCGTCATATGCCAGTCATGGCGAATCATTGAAATGTCGCAAGAAACTTACACTTTGGTTTTCCCAGATTTCTACTGTTGTTAAGTATGTAACGCAATGAACTCCTATGACCCTTCTCCCGTGCCAACCGCCACTCACACAGAGCAATTTCTTTCTGGAAACGTAAACAACGCCGACACTATCCGTTGGAACTGTTGGATGACAGAAGAGAAAGCACCGTAGCCTGCGCAAAAGAGACGAAAGAAGACAAAATCTGCAGCTAAATTGAGTGCAAGCATTTTCGAAGCTCGGGAGACGGCGAAAATTTGCCAGGATTTCATAATCAAACAAATAAAGCTGCTGGCGGGAGCGTCACTTTATGCACTTCCGGGGGAGCCTGAGACCTCCCAATGAATGTCATTTCCGGTGGGGTAGTGACCACTCGGGTGAGGGCTCCTCTGAGCCCCTTAATGCATGTGGGCAAAAGGGAACGCTGGGCCAAAGAAATGTCACAAAATTACCTGAACTATTGGCACGATAGGTCCCTTATTTCCCAGAACACCTTACTCGATGTGCATTCCAGCGAAATAATTATCCAACCAACTCAGTGACATCCGTGCTGTGAACAGTGTGGTCCCGTCCCGCTGGATCATAACTCGTCCCCACCGGTCCCGGGATGTCGCACCAGGGCAGCCCAGGGGAGCGTCATAGCGAAATCGATGCAGCGCCCCGAGGTGGTGTTGACATAATGGTTTGAGGAATGGGAGATCGCTGAAGAATGCTATCCTCTTGTATGACGTTTTGCCATTGAATGGTTGTTCGAATGCCACGGCAGTCTTGATTGCGCGGGACATGCGTTGAGCACAGTCAGGGGCGGATCCAGAGGGGGGCACAAGGTCGTGTCCCCATACCCCCCCCCCCCCCTGGGCTCTGAAGGGGCCCATTGGTTCCGAGGGGGCCTTTAGCCGGCCGGACATGTGCAGTTTTTTCAACACAAAACGCAACAAAACTGGGTATCTCTGGACTTCCAGGCGACCAAAAGCAGTTGTAAGCGAAAGTGAAGGGCCTAGAGAAGTCAAAAAATATTCAATTATTGGATAAGCTGTGAACTGGACATTTTAAGCCCCATTACACTGTTTAAGGGTCCCGTGGTGTTTCCGGGGACCCATGTACCCACTTCCAGAATCATTTTGATCGTTAAGGAGCATTCCAGGCTGCCCTTCATTTCACTGCATTTGCTCGGAGGGCCCTGTGCTGTTGTTGGGACCTTCCTGTTAGCATATCGGGACACTCTTGTCAATCACGGACCCTTCCACGGGTTCCTTTCTCCAGAAAGGCTCTGTCAACTATAGCTGGGGTCCCATATCTTTACCTGCCAGGTTATTCTCGGTTGTTCAGGGGCCCTCTACGTGGGTCTTGGTTGACCTACCGACACACTTGTGATATGCTCATGAGCCTTCTATATTGGTCCAGGGCGTTTCAAATTCTCTCTCACGTGCTTAGGGTCCTACACTCTTGTCGGGGACCCATCTGATGGCCTGCTTGGGCACACTCAGTCGTTCGGGGACCCTCTACACTGGGTCTTGGGTGCTTCTTTTCCGAACGGGGGGCCCTACGCTCTTGTGAGGACCTATCTGATAACTTGCTGGGGTACATTGGATCGTTCGGGAGCCCTCTACATTGGGTCTTGGGCACGTGTTATTTCAGTGGGCCCTACACACTTGTCCGGGGCCCCCTCTGTTCGCCTCCTCGGCCACATTGGATTACTCGGGGGGCGCTGTATATTACTTCTTGGTGTTTGAATTTAGGGCCCTCTGCTCCTACCGGGGTCATCTAATAACCTGTTCGGGTACACTCCATCTTTCGAGGCTCCGCCGCACCGCGTTTTGGGTGCTTCTTATTTCAATGGAGGGCCATACGCTCCTGTTGAGGTCCCTTGTGAAAAGCTGCGCGGGCTCATTCGGTCCGTGGGGCATCTCTATATCTGGTTTCGGGTGCTTCCTTTTTGAATGGAGAGCTCTCCGCTCTTTTCGGGAGCCCCTATCTGTCTACCTGCTTCTGCGCACTCGATTTTTCGGGCCCTCTACATCGTGTCGTGGGTATTTCATATTTGAACGGAGGACCCTACACTCTTGCCGGGGCCCCCATCTGTTAACCTACTCGGGCTCACTCGAATATCCGGGGGCCCTCTACATTGTGTCTTGGGTAATCCTGCTTGAATGGAGGGCCCCACGCACTTGTCGGGGACCCCGTCTTCCCGCCGCTCCGGCCGCACTGGATTGTTCGGGGGCCCTATATATTGGGTCTTGGTACTTGAATTCGGGCCATTACACTCCTGTCTGGGCTACCTGATAATCTGCTCGGGTATATTTTACCTTTTTGGGCCTTCCACACTGGGTTTTGGGTACTTCGTATTTCATTGAAGGACCCTACACTCTTGTCAGGCTACTTCTGATAGATCTACTCGGGCACATCCCATCATTCTGGGGCCATTTACTTCCGGTCTTCGATGCTTCCCATTCGAATGGAGGGCCACGTGCTCTTGTTGGGAGCCCTATTTGTTAACCTGCTCGGGTACACTCGATCAATTGGGGGCCCTCTACATTGGGTCTTGGGTACTTCCTATTTGAATGGAGGGCCCTGCCCTCTTGACGGGGGCCAATATGTTAATCTGGCCGGGCGCACTCGATCGTTCAGAGCCCTACACATCGCGTCGTGAGTATTTCTCATTTGAATGGATGGTCCTATGTTCTTGGCGGGCCTCATCTATTCAGCTGCTCGGGCCGGTGGCAGATGCAGAGGGTGGGGAGGCACAGGACGACGCACCACGGGCTATGCCGAGCTGACCTAAAGACTCTGAAGGAACCCATAACTGGCCGGACGGACGCAGTTTTCTTACAACAAAAACAACAAAATTGGAAGCCTTTGGGTCCACAGGCAGCCAAGAATTAATTTTAGCAAAAGTAAAGATTTAATAAGCAAACAGAGCTGATCCGGGACCAACTGGCGGGTGAGAAGGCCTCTCGTGTCAGGGAGGGGAACAGTGTGATACAATATTCCTTCTAATAGCCCTATTATACTAGTGCATCGCGTTCTTAACATATTTTGAATGCTAGGATATGTTGTACCAGTTTATAACGCAGGAAAAATTACGCATTAGTCATTCGCCATCAGCTGATTACATCACCCAGCCGGCTAGCCATAAATGCATTAGCTACGAATCAAGTCCATGCTTGGTTTTGATGGTTGTTAGCAGCCAACTTAAGTTTATTTTGCCCTCTGTTCCGACGCAATCGGCCTCAAAATGACAGCATTTAAAATGCTCTGTAGAAAATGAGTGAGCTTCATGTGTATGCATGCGTAGCACGTCTAGCTTTATAGGACTGTGCACAGTTGGATGGATTTCCGTATTTATCAAATAAATGAACAAGCAAATATACATACATATACATATACATACATATACGACTTGTTTTAAAAAAGTAACGACCGAAAAGCAAGGATATGCTTTGGAGGGTGTCCAAACTCCAGGGGGCCTACAATATTACGTGCCCCTCCGTTGACGAAATCCTGGATCCGCCCCTGAGCACAGCTGAGTAAAACGTGAGCTTTCTTGCATGTGGGCCACTTTGCATAAACGGTGGTTTTTCATGGACGTAGTCCGTTTATTTTACCTTTCTTCTACTTTCTTTGCGAGCCTGTTACATTGTGAACACGCGCTCGGGCGGGGATCAAATCGACCACACGAAGGTTTTTTCCAGAATAGTTTCCGAACGGCGCGGCTTAGCCGCGCCAAATTTTGCCTAGCTGTAGACCATGTAGTAACAGATCATCTGGCACCAACAATTCAAGTGTACCTTGTAAGGTCGCTTACCTATGGCAGGTCAAAGTCAGGCCATGGTTTCAGCGAGGGCAATTTCTAGGGAAACGTTCAATTTGATCCAACAGCGGAATGTAATACACTGAAGCCATACATCTCTGAGATACTTTATTACGCAACACAACGATTGAATGGACCAATTCCATTAACCTAGGAACAGGTATGAAGGTCAGGCCGAGGTCAAAACCAACCTGTTTTACTACTCTAGGGCTTGCTGTTTAGAATACTTTCTGGCGCTCATTTCGAATTTACTGACAACAAGAATCGCATTATGTACCTTCCATGACTTCTAAAAAGGTCAGAAGAGATCACTGACCTAAAATGGTCCAGGTCAACATTTTTTTTTTTAAGAACACAGTGCCTCGCGTAATCTTTGTCGCTCTTTCACATGCAAAACTTAAAACAGTCTTGTATGAATTTTTTCACCATAACCTTCAAAAAGTCAAACAAGGTCACTGACCTTAAATGAGCATGTGACCTTTGCTTAGAACAGTCATCTAGGCTCCAGGGAACCTTTGGAGACCAGCCTGGAACTTGGCCTTTTTACCTTATTTGACCCGGAGGTCATTACCTAGGAGCCTTAAACTTTGACTTAGGTGAGTTCACGTACAGGTCAACACACCCTGAAAACTTGGTGTCTCTAGCCGTCTTACTTCCTGAGATCTCAGATGGGACAAATTGACCTACACCCCCACCTGAGCGAAGGGTATTCAGCGGGCCACTCGGGTACGTGTTAAATCGCGAACTTTCTGCACAATTGGGAAAGCCACTCAGTCCTCTGTGTAACGATCTGTTCTCACGGAAAAGAAGGGATACTTAAGCATGTGTATGTTCACGCGACTGGAGATCAAAAGATTGTGTGTTTCAGCAACCTCCTCAGCTCTTTCTTCTGTGGCTCTCCTAATTTGTGGCATAAGGAAGGGATTGCTTCCTTGGTAGCCACGGGTTGTGCGGAATACGCACAATGAACACGCGTATGCACCTAAGAAATTGCCTAAAGTTCCCCCCGTTCACCCACTTGCGCATCGTGTCACGCGGTGACGCATGACAATCGGTGGCATATGCCAACGCAGTCATGTCATCATGATTTTGGGGGTGGATCCAGATGTACGGCCATTTTACGTGTCCCAAGCAGCAACTGAAAAATGTTCATTGAAGGCCTTGTTCAGTGCGCCGCAAAGGTGCAAAATTTGCGCCGGATTTTGTCTGCCCGATTTATTTTATTGTTTGCCGGATTTTATTTTCAATTATTGTGTGCCGGAGAACAACATGCATGCTCTCGATCTAAGCTGTAAACGTCCATCTGAAC